AAAAAAACACGCTGTGGGGGGTAAGACACCCCTAACACTCCTCGGGGGGGGGGGGTTCTGTTAAGATACAGACTGTTGTGCTTTAAAATGGCTTCTACTGTACTGTAAAGTGTATTCTACTGTACAGCGCAGTGGAGTTGCCATGGTAACAGTTTCACAGTACTCCACAAAGGAGCTCCTTCTGGTAAGGGGGAAAATCCAACATTAGAAATTACGTTTGGTCCAGACATTTTCCCTCTATAAATAAATACACGGACAATGCCGGGTTATCAGCTAGTAAGTAAGTAAGTAAGTAAGTAAGTGTAAGTAAGTAAGTAAGTATAAGTAAGTAAGTAAGTAAGTAAGTAAGTAAATAAATAAATAAATAAAAACTCCATTCAAAAACAGCACAGGAAACATCAAATCTATTGTGCCAGATTGGATCAATCGCTTACATTATTAAGTCTTAGAAATGTAGAAAAAAGGATTGGCTTTCCCTGGAGTAAAAAGACATTATTATGGGAATCAGGTATGCCTAAGCCCACCCAGTTGAGGAAGTCTTTATAAAAACAAGGAGAGATTCAACCTGGAAATAAGAAGACATTTCCTGACAGTGAGAACAATCAACCCATGGAACAGAAGTTGCCTTCAGAAGTTGTGGGAGCTTCATCACTGGAAGCTTTCAAGAAGAGACCAGACTGCCATCTGTCAAAAATGGCATAGGGTCTGCTGGGTGGGGGGTTGAACTAGATGACCTACAAGGTCCCTTCCCACTCTGTTAATCTGTATCTGCCTCATATGGGATACCAGGCAAGATCTCAGATGGACACCAGGCATGACATTAAAAAAAATATTTGATAGTTAAAATTCTCTGGTCTCAGATTGCTCTAGGTTGTAAAAGGATCACATCAAAACCTTGCATTGGATCCAGAAACAACCTGACAGTGATATATCAGGAGTATGGACGCTACTTTAATTGATTGAGAACTCTTGATGGCTTTACTGTGGTATTTTCCACTACTGTATTTATTAGCAGCAGCTCTGCGGGATTTCAGACACATCTATTTTCCCTATTTGGAAAAACCCAAGAATTGAACTTGGGATCCTCTGCTTAGAATATATGCTACTACTGTCCTCTCGCTGATATCCCCAATATATGTACATCATCTGAAGCAAATTCTTATAGCCTTCTTAGTGATACGTTCAGTATAGGACCTTATAGATATAGGGCTTCAGCTGTTAAGCCCCATTTAGTTTTCAAAAAGAAGACTTACTCCGAAATCTTTTCAGGATCTAGCCCCCGACACCTCACAGCTAGCGTGTTGAATGGGTCTTGGGGAGATCCTGAGTTAAATGTCTATGTAATCATGACAGTGGTCTAATGTCTTTCTTACTTCTCCAAAGGATTATTGTGAGGCTCAAGCAAGCAAGAGATGGAATCATTTACACCACTCCAGGGGTGAAATGTTTGGAAATCTGCTACTGGTTTGCTTTGCGTCCATGCACCCCAAACACATGCTTCGCAAGTATGCGCACCGCAGGCGCTACCGCACAGCGCTGAAAAACGAGGATTAAGAAGCCTTTTCTGAGTCTGCAAAAGTAAGTAGAACAACGGGGAGAGGTACAGCTGTGCCGCACGATTTAGATTCACTAGGAAGCAGGATTTCCTGCTTTCTAGCGAATATAAATCATGCAGCACAGCTGATTGTTGCACAGCTGATCGTTGGAACGTAAAAAATTGCTACCGGTTCAGGCGAACCAGTAGCATTTTTTACTACCAGTTCAAGCGAACCGGTCCAAACTGGTAGCATTTCACCCCTGAGCCACTCTCTTTGCAAGAAAGGTAAACCATGATAAAAATAAAATCCACATTTCACACATTTTCTAGGCTAGGATTCAAGAAAAGTAGCCATTAAAATAAAATAAAAAAAATGGAATTCTATCTGTTGTGCCTATTTAGTGAAGTACATTACATTTGTAATTGGGCTTCTTTACCTCCATCTTCCATAACTTTCTTTCAGTAAGCCACCCCCAAAAATGTAAAACAAGTCCTACCCAATCGCTCATCACTCCCCTCCCCCTTAGAGGCATCCATCCCATAAATAGGAGCCATTTCCCAGCACAAAGTTACATTCCACCTGCCTTGAGTGTGCTTTGAAGTGTCCGAATCAGATGTACTTTCTCGTTGATCTCTGGATTCTTGTTACGTTTGACAAACGATTTCCGATAATATTCACGGGTGAACACCTGCTGTTTCCCAATAAGTGATACTCCTCCTTGTTTCAGACACTTGATCAGGGACTGAAGTTCTTCTTCTGCTGGATCTTCATAAGATACAAGATACCACCATGTAACATCAAACCTCAACTTTTTACTTTTATATAAGAACATAAACTAGCCACAAACCTATCTAATCGGCAAAACCCCAAATCAAAGTTTCATTTATTGCCACCTCAAGCACAAAGTCCAATAGTGGTTTCCAAGTAGAAACAAAATTAATTGTGTCCTTTTCTTTAATCAGAGCAGTCAATTTGGCCATCTCTGCTAACTCCATCAACTAAAAACGTCTTTTATTTTTGTGCAGACCTAGCAATTCAGACCTTGCAAGAGCCATGAAACCAGCCTGCTACTTGGGGAAAGAGAGAAAGACACAGAGAGAAAAGTGATAGAGAGAAGGAGAAAGGGACATTTTCAAGAACAGATTGGCACATTTATTGGCATGTAAAGGTAAAGATTCCCCTTGCACATTTGTGCTAGTTGTTCCTGACTCTAGGGGGCGGTGCTCATTTCTGTTTCAAAGCCGAAGAGCCAGCGCTGTCCAAAGACGTCTCCATGGACATGTGGTTGGCATGTCTAAACACCGAAGGCACACAGAATGTTGTTACCTTCCCACCAAAGTAGTCCCTATTTTTCTACTTGCATTTTTGCATGCTTTCAAACTGCTAAGTTAGCAGAAGCTGGGACAAGTAACAGGAGTTCATTCCATTACGGCACTAGGGATTTGAACCGCTGAACTGCCAACCTTTCTGATCAACAAGTTCAGCGTCTTAGCCACTGAGCCACCTTCTTATTGGCATGATGATGTCCTAAATAATAGTACCAATGGAACAGTCTCAATATGAAAAAAAAAACAGTTGCCAAATCTTCATTTGGCTACTGACATATGCACACACGTGTCCATACTCCCTGTCCATTTGGCAGAGGAAGATAAACACTGTAGTCTGAAATAGTTGAATGATTCCAGTTGGAGAAAGCTGCCTAAAGTTTCATACCAAACTTCCTGTTTCAGTTCATCAGCTTAGAGATGTTCAACTATTATAGCTTATCTTTCTCCTATTTGCCTTTGCTATGGGAACACTTCAGAAAACTTCTGGAGAAATCTGTCCTATTTCATCCTTCTGCTTTAGAAATGATGTTCAATTATACTTGATTTTTTCCAACATCTCACCTGCCATGTTCTTTCCAGTGCAACTTGGGAAGGTACCAAAGGTGAGCTCACCTGGAGAAGAGGGAGATGCTGTTTTCTCATCTACATTGTCCTGGAAAAGTGGGCTTCCCAGGTTTTGGCTATTCCCCGTAGCCCCTGATGGCAACTGAGCCTTCTCCAATTCCTTCTGCTTTGTCTGCCAGAAATGAAGAAAGAAAATAATGGATGGAGGCAAAATATGAGTAAATATGACCCGCTTGAGTTCAACCTCATCACATGCAACATTCTTCTGCAGTGATCTTTTCAATGGTTACATTGCAATTCCTTCCAAACACAGTCAAATGCATGGATTCCCACCTTAAATTTGCATGCTGGAATCAGGGCCTTTTTGGAAATCACAATATGCCTGTTGCAGTTGCCTCTTATTTCCCCAAAATAATAAAATCCCAAATGAGTTTATAAAAAGCATCAAGATATTTTAAAGAACAGTCCACCATTTTTACAATTATGTTCCATCAAGAAGATACTGACCTGATCAAAACTATGCCTAGGAGAGTCATCCTCGTGATCTTCTGCTTCTGTTTCGCTGTAGCAATCTAAGTTGGAATGAGTCCAGAGGGGGGAGGGGGGAAATGAATGGAAACTGTGAAATGGGATGAATTGCACCATACCAGCTTTCTGCCTCCATCCTCAGGAATCTATCATCCCCAGCCACCATGTTCCTTCTCTTTTTCCCTGATCTAAGAGCAATGGTGGCGCAGTGGTTAGAATGCAGTATTGCAGGCTAATTCTGCTGACTGCCATGCTGGCAGTTCAAATCTCAGTGGCTCAACATTCTCTCAGCTTTCCATCCTTCCGAGGTCAGTAAAATGAGGACCTGGATTGTTGGGGGCAATAGGCTGACTCTGTAAACTGCTTAGAGAGGGTTGTAGAGCACTGTGAAGCGATATATAAGTGCTATTGTTATTGCTATTTCTCCCTTCCTTTCCTTGGCCCTGGTGATGCAGTGGTTAGAATGCAATATGGCAAGTTGACTCAACCTTCCATCCTTCCGAAGTGGGTAAAATGAGGACCAGATTGTTGGGTGGCCAATATACTGACTCTGTAAACTGCTTAGAGAAGGCTGTAAAGCACTGTAAAATGGTATATAAGTCTAAGTCCTATTGCTATTGCTACCTTAACTCTGCATGCCTTGGTATCTCTGTATGTTCATATTCCCATTGCCCCTCAGCTTAAGAAGGCAAGGACTTGGAGAAATTATCCATATCCAGGTTGACATCATATTAGTGAAATCAGGTAGATATCAATACTAATATTAGGTCAAAATATGATAATGGAGGCATATTTTTTTTCTGATTTCCCCCCCCCCCCCCAGGGTGGGTGGGTATAGAATTGTCATCTTGCTTCAAGATCTTGCTTCAAGGTCTTCTTGCTTCTTGCTTTCAGGTGAATCTTCCCAAAGGTGCTTTTTCAGATGGCAAGTGGACTTTCTTGGTTTTTCTTTGAAGATGTTTTGCTTCTCATCCAAGAAGCTTCTTCAGCCCTTACAGGATAGTGGGGAATGGAAGCTCCTGTCAGAGATAAAGAAGCTTCTTGGATGAGAAGCAAAATGTCTTCAAAAAAACCCCCAAGGAAGTCCAGTTGCCTCCTGAAAAAAACACCTTTGCGACAACCATGACCTGGATGACTTTCAGGTGAATCCCTTATTTAGTATATGTGATGCAGATGTATCATGTCTTATGTACTTGGCCAGGAGAAAATGAGCTACTTTCAATAGGCACTCACCTTCTTGGTTAGATGGTCCAGATTTACGGGACACTGTATATTTAGTCATTGATGTGATCAAACGACTGACCCACCTGGGAAGAAACACAGCTCGTTATTTCCCCAGGTTGCAAGGTATCTTCCTCGCAACTTTAAATATAAACTTGCTGAAAACAAATCTTTCTTCAAAGCAGTGCCCTTTTGAGACTTAGTTGCCATATTTTTATGCTTCTGGAAATTGCCAAAAGCCAGCAGCTTCAAAATATTCCCTTATGTCTTTGGAAAATTCTGGCTGGAATCAAATCAGCAAAGCTTTCGAAGAAAGCTGCCTGTTTATAGTGCTTTCCTTCCCTGTTTTATCTCATCAGCAACAATCTGTTCAAACAGGAAGATCTAGAATGAAAATGCCACTCAAGTTAAAAAAGCTCTTTGACACTTCAAGTTTGGATGGAGGTAGTGCTGATCAGTTTTTCTCATTATTATTAATTTTTATGCCACCCATATCTCTGATAACTCATCTCTGGGCAGCTTTCTTGCTAGATCAGGGTTCCCTCATGCACATGTGTGCTAGTCGTTTCTGACTCTATGGGGTGATGCTCATCTCCATTTCTAAGACGAAGAGCCAGTGTTGTCCGAAGATGTCTCCGTGGTCATGTGGCCAGCATGACTAAACACTGAAGGAGCACAGAGCACTGTTACCTTCCCACCAAAGGTGGTTCCTATTTTTCTACTTGCATTTTTACATGCTTCCAAACTGCTAGTTTGGCAGAAGCTGGGACAAGTAACAAGAGCTCACTCTGTTACGCGACGCTAGGGATTCGAACTGCTGACCTTTCTGATTGACAAGCTCAGTATCTTAGCTACTGACGCTCACTGCATCCCTTCCTAGATCAGTCCCTCCATCATCCCCTTCCATAGCTGAGCATAGAAATCTATTTCCACTCTCACTCTCATTAAGTACAATATCCCAAGTTTCCATAACTTTGATTATACAAAAACAATTCTGAAAGGAATTGCGTGCACAGATGAACTGATAAATTATATATAAATTCATAGGTCTTGCCAATTGGGGAGGTGGACAAGAAGTGGTCAGGCCTTCTTCTCTGCTCCTGTGACCCTCCATGATGGAGTTGCATGCAAGACTTTGGGATCTGCTAATATTCCTGGAGGAACAATCTCAAGTTCTTCACCAGTGTTGATCAAATGCACTAGAGCAGGGATGACAACCTCAAGGCCCAGGGGACCAGATCTGGCCTGCGGGGGCTTAGATCTGGCCCACGGAGCCACCCTGAAACAGCGGACTGGCCTGGGCACTCTGCCAGAGAAAGTGGGCTCCCGAGCTCCATTTTTGGCAGCCACGGCCTCCTGTAACCCTCTGCTAAGGGTTGGAGGATGCCGCAGCAGCCAAAAACAGAGCTCAGGAGGCTGTTTTCACTGGCAGAGAGCTTGGGTCATCACAGGCACCAAACAGGAGTGATGTTGAGCTGGCCATGTCTACCCTGGCCATGCCCACCCCCCCAGGTCAAACACAACTCTGATGCGGCCCTCAATGAAATCGAGTTTGACATCCCTGCCTTAGAGGCTACTCACATGCTCAGATCAGCCAGGGTTTCTGCTGCAAAGATGAAGGGCTTGTACTTCTCATGGGTGAATTGGAAAACACTGGAGAGGAAAAAGAAGTGACAGCAGTGGGATTTCTCACGATTCCTTGCTGTTGGGAATCACACCTATACCCAATTACCAATCTGCATGGATACAGCTGCAAATGAAGCTTGAAAGGATTGTGTAACTAGTGTGACACCCCACTTCACCCTAAATTTTGCATCAGGGTATGGTTCTCTCAAGCCTACTTGTAGTGCCCTCAGATATACAAATGGTAATCTCTAGGCTATGTAAGGATTTAACACAGAAATCCAGTTTGCTCTTAGTGCATATATCTTGTCAAGTAACAAACCAAATACTTTTGGAGCCCACAAACTACTGAAATATCTCTTCTAGCTAGAATTATCTCTTCTAGCTAGAATTATGAGAGTTTAAAACAGGGGCCAGCAACCTTAAACACTCAAAGAGCCACCAAACGGGAGCCACCCATTCAATTCTGGAGCCGACTGGAAGTCTGGTACCCCCACCATGGAGTCTCCTCCTAGCATGGCGTCCTTTTTCCTCTACCTGTCCTAACAAAAAACCCTATCAATTGTGGAGCCATCTGGTGACAGGGAGCCGCAGAAGAGGGATGAAAGAGCCACATGAGGCTCCAAAGCCGCGAGTTGCTGACCCCTGGTTTAACATATCTGAAGGACTTCAGCATTGCAGAACTGATTCAGAGTTTGTTCCTTCTCAGAAAATGGCTCAAGGGGACCAATGAGTTTGCACTCACTATTTCTTCTTCTGTTCCTTGGTGCTCTCCAATCTGTAGGCAGACACGTTGATCAATCCCACAGCCTTCTCATCCTAGTTTTCATAGTCCATTGACAAGAAAAGAAGAAAAGAGGTAGACATATTAATCTTTGGCCACAAACAGAAAAATTTGGGACCTTTTATTTATTTGTTTATTTTAAAATTGATTTTCTATTAAATACACTTCTTAGTGCTTTATAAACATTTGTGTTGTCTGGGTATTTAATTTGCTTAACGATATAGATTTACATTCTTAATCCCCTTTTTTCCAACCATTGGTAAAATAAATTCCATATTTGATAGTATTCGGTGTCCTCTTTCTGCTTAATTTTCAATATCAATCTTTCCATTTCTGCACAATCTAGTATCTTCTTCACTATTTCTTCATCTCGTAGTATATCTTCATTTTTTTCCAATATCGTGTGAAAATAATCCTCACTGCTGTTAGAGCATGTAATATTAAATACATACTTTTCTTATCAGTTTTTCTGATATTATACCTAATAAAAACAATTCAGATTTATAATCTATATGTTTCCCTATCATCCTTTCTAACAACCTGTGTAACTTTGTCCAATTTCGTTTTGCTTTGACACCACATATGATAAAATGTGTCCATTTTTGGATTATATTTCCAATGTAATCCCAAAAAAGATTTGGGACATTTTAAAGGCATTTAATCTACCACACATTGTTTTAAAAGAAGCCAGTCTTTGTCGAATGAATGGAAAAGACCAGAGTTAATTCACTCAAGAAGATTTGATCTACAGAAGCTTGTGCTATCGTAACATTGGCTACTCTTAAAGGAACAACCGCGAACCATTCATGCAATGAACTGCTCTCTTTGCTCCTTTTTGTACAAAGAAGCTCTAAAATATTCAGTGACCCAAATCAGAAAACCAAAGCAAAACTTTAGGGAATATATACTGCTTTTTTAAAAAGTTGATTTAAAAATTCACTTTTTTAATGTTTGCAACCTACCAAGAACTCAAGAAGCAAGCATACACTTCCTTGCCATCTTTCCACAACAGCCTTTATGAGCGAAGGCATAGTGACCAGTTTAGAATCACTTAAGGAAGTTTTATGAAGCTGGATCTCCCAAGTCATACCCCTGCACCTTAACCACCTTAACTGGCTGTGCGAAAATGCAACACAACTGGAAATCGAGGCTGGTGAAGGCCAGGCTAAAGCAATCACTGATTGATTATCTATCAAACTTATATTCTATCTTTGTTTTTGCACAACTATAAGCAGCATGTATAATACTTGCATTTATTTTCTCAACAAGAACCCTGTGTGGGAGGCCGGGCTGAAAGAGAGGGACTGGCCCCAACTCCCTCTCCTCTCCCCTCTCCACTCCTCCCCCTCCTCTCCTCCCCTCTCCCTCTTCCTCTCCCCCCTCTCTCTCCTGTAAGGTAAAGGTAAAGTTTCCTCTCGCACATAAGTGCTAGTCATTCCCAACTCTGGGGGCGGTGCTCATCTCCGTTTTAAAGGTTGAAGAGCCAGCACTGTCCAAAGACATCCCCGTGGTGATGTGGGAACCATGAAGGTGCATGGAACGCTGTTACCTTCCCACCAAAGGTGGTCCCTATTTTTCTACTTGCATTTTTTACATGCTTTTGAACTGCTAGATTGGCAGAAGCTGGGACAAGTAACGGGAGCTCACTCTGTTACGCGGGCACTAGGGATTTGAACCGCCAAACTGCCGAACTTTCTGATTGACAAGCTCAGCATCTTAGCCACTGAGCCACCGCGTCTCTCTTGTATTTTCTTCAAATCTCTCAGGAAATGGAAAAGCAACATTCTGATATGAGTCTTCCAATCCAGGTGGAGAGTACTTATCAGCGTAAATCGGGACCACATGAAATGGGGAAACACCCCCCCTGAGCTTGCCATTTTGCAGGGCTTATAATTTCCGTAACATCACTCAAGAACTCAACCTCTAACATGATATAAGTGGGGGATCTCCAAAATAGTGACCTTGCTCATTTTTTCTGGCACTCATAAACTTGTTATTTTGGCCTACGCATTCATTGTTGTTGTTTTTTAAAGTAGTGTTTAAAAATAAGTGGAAAACTGATACACCGCAAAGGAAGTCCAGCCTCCCTTTGAGTTTATTGTTACCATAAGTGTCTTGGAATGCACTCACGTTGGGGTGGCTGTACCAGTAAAGGTTGTGTCCTTTCAACACAAACCAAAACCGTTTCCATTTCTGGGCCATGAAGCCCACGTGGTCCTTCTTTTTTAAGAGCCAACCGTCACAGTCCACCTGTCCCAGTTCCTGGCAGGAGATGCGTCGTCGACTTAGCCGGGTAGTGACTCCTCATTAAAGGAAAAAAAAAAGAGAGAGAGATTGCCTAACATATTTTTTAAAAGCTCTGAAAGGGACACCCACACCACAGTTAAGTTCAACTGATGGAATGAAAGAACTGGTGGAGTTAGAAGGATTCCTGCTCTCCCCCAGAGCACATTCACACATGCACATCAGTGGTGGGATTCAAATTTTTTTACTACCGGTTCTGTGGTCGTGGCTTTGTGGGCATGGTAGGGGAAGGATACTGCAAAATCCCCATTCCCTCCTCACTCCTAAAATTTCCGCTACTGGTTCTCCAGAACTTGTCAGAACTGACTGAATACCACCTCTGATGCACATGTGCATATCCAAAAGCATGTGCTTTATCTTGCTGATTTTGGAAGGAAAATCAGTGGTGGGATTCAGTCGACTCTCACCTATTCGGGAGAACCGATTGTTAACTTTCTAAGCAGTTCGGAGAACCGGTTGTTGGAAGAAATCTCACTTTGTTTTTTTCCACTTTACAGGGCTAATCCTGTAAGGAAGGCAGAAAGGAAACATTCTGGTGTTGTTTCTAGCCTAATCTTTATTGCCCTGCTAACAGAAACTGCCTCTCTGGTTAACCCTTATTACATTGTAACAGCCCAAGCAATGTGAATGACGTTGAGTTGGCCATGCCCACCCAGTCACATGCCCACCCGGCTGGTCATTAGGGCAGAGAACCGGTTATTAAATTATTTGAATCCCACCATTGCTCAGGGATATCCAACCTTGGAAACTTTAAGACCTGTGGACTTCAATTCCCAGAATTCCTCAGCCAGGCGGGCATTAGCATATCAAAAGCATACAGGTAATCCTTAATTTATGATCCTTAGTTTAGTGACAGTTCGGAGTTAGGACAGCGTGGAACAAAGTGATTTATGACTGGTTCCTCACACAAGTTTTGCAGCATCTCTGCAGTGACACAATCACAATATGGGCACTTTGCGATTGGCATGAACTTACGAGGGTTGCAGAATTGGGGCAATCACCATTTGCAACCTTCTCAGCCAGCCTCTGACAAGCAAAGTCAATGGGGGAAACTAGATTTGCTTAATGATCGTGTGATTTACTTAATGACCATAGCAAAATAGCAATAGAACTTAGACTTATATATCACTTCACAGTGCTCTACAACCCCCTCTAAGCGGTTTACAGAGTCAGCCTCTTGCCCCCCAACAATCTGGGTCCTCATTTTACCCACCTCGGAAGGATGGAAGGCTGGGTCAACCTTGAGCCTGGTGGGATATAAACTGCCAAATTTCAGGCAATCAGCAGGAGGCGCCTGCAGTACTGCACTCTAACCACTGTGCCACTGCAGCTCTTAGATCATAAAATTGGGTGTGGTCATGTAATGACTCACTTAATGACCACATCACTTAGCAATGGAAGTTCCAGTTCCAACTGTGGTCGTAAGTTGATGAGGGATTCCACTTACCCTTCTGTTTCCGTCGAATCTCAGCACTGCCCTGTAGGGATCACACAGAGAGAGAAGAAAACACAGTGACATGATTGATGAGGGACTTGAAATATGAAATATGAGCCAACTCAGAAAGCTCAAACTGCCCAAAGAGCTGCTGATTCAGTTCTACAGAGGAATCATTGAGTCTGTCATCTGCACTTCTATAACTGTCTGGTTTGGCTCTGCAACCCAACAAGACAGACACAGACTTCAGAGGATAATTAGAACTGCAGAAAAAACAATGGCTACCAACCTGCCTTCCATCGAAGACCTATATACTGCACAAGTCAAAAAGAGGGCTGTGAAAATATCTACAGACCCCTCATATCCTGTACGCAGATTGTTTCAACTCTTACCTTCAAAACGACGCAAAGGGCACTGCACACCAGAACAACTAGACACAAGGACAGATTTTTTTTCTGAATGCCATCACTCTACTAAACAACTAA